GCAACAATCCGGATATCGCGATACCTTTACTATCACCCGTGAGCTCTGTGAAACCACTGCGGCCTTTGCGCCTTTTGCACTGGACACGGCACGACTTTGCTTGCTTATCGACAGCAAAACTCAAGCTCTCGAAGTGCTGAATGTGTTGGAGAAGCGCTTGACGAAAGGACCACCAGTCGATCAAATGGAATTCAGAGAACTTGTGCAGATGTACTCGGCGGCACGTGAGTCCCTGAACTTGGAGAGGGCTTCCAGTACTCAATCGTTGCAAAAACTGCAGCCGTACATGACATTGTGATACGCGATCGTCAACTCCGGGTGTTAGTAGTTGTAGCCTGCAACCACGGCGGTCTCAGATATCCCGGAATCAACATTAATCATTGCAGAGAGTAGAGAGACCAAAATCGAGACCAATTCCGGAGCTGTAATCTCTCGATTGTACACATGAGACTGCGTCAAACAAATTGTAATTAATGCGGCGTTGAGAGATATCGAGATAATCGCGTTTAAAGTAGGCTATTCAATTTCGTACATAAGTGAGTTTGCGCAAGCTCCTTGGGCCTTCTGGTGTAAAGAGGAGTGTGTCACCGTCACGGATGAGGCAAACTGACTGAAGGGAGAACACTTCTTCGCGATCCTAAAGCTCAGATCAAAAATATGAACAGGGTGTACCGACAGCGTTCAAGATCTCAATCCCCAACAACCAAACCATTAGCCAGCCATGCCCGAGCACCACCCCGACCAACCCAGGTTTCTCAATCCAGGCTCACCGCAAGCAACGCCAAGCACCCTGACCTCCACAAAAACCTGTCAGGATGCCGACAGCCCTAAGGTGGAGTCCCTAGATGGCATTACACGCAAAGCCGCAGGGGAGGACAAAAGCGGTGACATAAACGAAGGAGATCGTCTTGTTCCTTCTGCTAGTGAGAGTGAGGAGTACGATGACAGTGGCGATGAGAGCTTCACTCCGAACTCAGAAGTTGCTGACAGTGACGTCGAATCCCTCTCAACAGCCAGCTCCTCCAACGGTCACCAAGAAGAAGAGGACATAAGCAACTTCTTGTTCGAGGGGGACCTACGAGCTCGGGTAACTGAGATTATTAACGCTGACTCGTGCGAAAAGCACTGCGTGCAGGGAAAAGTTCGAGAGCTCGAGCATTTGCTGACATCGCTCAATCAAATGACGAAAAGCGAGCGCATGAAAAGTTTGTACACGCTGCTGGCACTTTTCATGATCGCTCCGACGGCAGAGCGCAAGCGCGGCTAGGGGAACGCGAGAAATTCCTATAATTTCTGCCATTTTATTGCCAGGTTTGTTGACCTACAGTGGTGCTCGGCTATGATGTAGTTTCCGATGACTATTCAACGCTACAAAACTCGTATCCGCAACGGTAGTATTTCTGTTGCGAAGCACAGCAAAAACAAGAAAAAGCATGCTTCGAAGGTGGGCGTGTTTTGTCTTGTGAGGTGGTTCGAACGCTTTGCAGAGGAGGTGGGGGAAGTTGTGCCAGTACGCGTCCGAATGCAGAAGACTGTGAATGGTACAACTCAAAAGTACTACAGCAGCGGAAAGTACACGCTGATACCGGCTCACGTTATGTGGGACGCCATCCACGACGAGATGCATACATACATCGAGTCAGGACTCAGCGTTTACGAGCCCGCCCGTTCTACAATGCGGAAGCTTCTGACACTGCACTATCCCACGATCCGATTTCGCTCTCCCCGCAGTAATGTATGTGATATCTATTCCATTTACTACTCTGGTATGCGGGGCAATATCACGGCGGACAAGACCGAGGCGCTCGGACGTCACACCGAACCAGCTCGAAGAATGCGGTGAGTTGGTACTGGGATATGAGTAACATTTTGATTTACTCGGAACATTTGGTCATGGGCATTGACAACATTTTGAATAATTGTTGAAGGGAGTACAAGCAAAACAAGGCTACGAGCACCGATGACATGCAGTTTTGGTGATGGACTACTCGCAGAACTTGACGCTCCCGAGCGTTGCGAATACTCCATCGCAGTGGTACTTCTGCTCTCTTGTATCCGTGAGCTGCTTTGAAATCTACTACGAGAACGAGGGCCTGCAGACAAACTACCTGTAGGATGAAAGAACTAGTGGAAAGGGTAGTGATCAGGTCAACTCAATGCTGGACGTTTTCATCGGAAAACTGGTGGATGCTGGTAAGAAACGACTGACCCTCTAAGCCGACAAGTGCACTGGTCAATACAAGAACAATTACGTGGTGAAGTTTCTACTGGCACAGGTTGACATTTGTCGTTTGCAGCACGTGGACTACAAATTCTTTGTTAAAGGCTACACGAAGAACTCGTGTGACCGTGATTTTGGCCACATTCGAAAGCAACAGGACTTGACATTTGGACGATGGACCAGTTAGTCGAGGCTGCCAAGACGGCTGCGTCTAATGCAACTACTGTGTATGTGCCACATGGAGGTGACCTATTTAAAGGGTACAAGAAGGAACTCACAGAGCTCTACAAAAGGCTGGACGGGATTCAGCAATACCAAATATTTTCTATGGACTCCAGCAAACCCGGTGTTGTGTGCTGCCGCATGAGCCCTGAGTCGGAGGTTGTAGAGGTGGATTTGCGTCGTAAGTTC